ATGGATCCAGGGCTGAGAGCTTCCAAGAGACGTTAGAACACAATGGGAATAGTGCAGGCAATTTGGAGGTCTTTGGCAAGGATGTGACCAAAATGATAGTCTTTGAACTCAAATTGGCTATGGAAGCAGTGAAGACAGGAGGAGGTAGAGGGAGAAACCAGGGAGTGGAGGTGTTGTGCTGAAAAGCTATTGTAATGAGATAACTGAGTGCTTGAGCAGGTGGCCTGAGAGTGCTTATGGCGCTGAGAGGTGGAGCATTTTAAGGTAGACAAGGTCCAGTGGAGGGGACATGGAGGGACTCCAGAGGCTTACGAGGATACTTTCCAGCTGCCCGGAGATGTCCAAGCTCTAGTTGTGGCTTCAGGACTAATCTCATTCTGATCTGAGATTGATTTAGGTGGCAAGTAGCAAATTACTCAAGCTTCTCTTTCTGTTCGTACTTACAGCAAATGAAATGAGAGCCCCAGAGTTGAATGTATGGATCTATTTCTCCAGAGTGGATGCTCTAATGCTGACCCTGAATGATTTCTTGATATGGAAATAACCATGCCTGTTCACGTTTCTAGAAGAAAAAGATTTCACTGACTCAAAGTCAGGGTGCCGGATTGTGTCCTGGTTGCCCCTCTTCCAGGCCAGCTCTCTGCTGTGGCCAGGGAGTGCAGTGGAGGATGGCCCAAGTGCTTGGGCCCTGCACCCCATGGGAGACCAGGAGAAGCACCTGGCTCCTGCCTTCGGATCAGCGCGGTGCGCCGGCCGCGGCGGCCATTGGAGGGTGAACCAACGGCAAAAAGGAAGACCTTTCTCTCTGTCTCTCTCTCACTGTCCACTCTGCCTGTCAAAAGAAAAAAAAAAAGGTGGAAAACAATAAAGCAATGTCAGGTGGTTCACTAACAGGCAACAATGACAGTTCACTCCTTTGAGGGACTCATGGATTTTTTTTCTCCAGGGGATAGGAGATCCCAGCCTCTATTTGGGAAATAAACTGCCCCCTTCTAGTTTGGAAAGGATAAACAAACAGCTTTCTTTGGAGAGTGAGACTTTGGGGATGGGGGAAGCCTTTATGTTTTACTTTATATACTTGAACAATTGAATGATTTTTATAGTGAACAATTACCACTTTTATATACAGGTCGAGCATCCCTAATCCAAAAATCTAATATTTAAAATGCCCCCAAATCTGAAACTTTTTGAACCATGATGTGGTGCCACAATTGGAAAATTCTATGTCCCACCTCATGTGACAGATTGCAGACAAAACACAGGTGCACTAAACATAATGTCTAAAATTGCCTTCAGGCTATGTGTACAAGGTGTGTATGAAGTGTAAATAAATTTTATGTTTAGACTTGGAACTCTTTACCAAAATATTCCATTAGGTGTATTTAAGTAGTCTAAAATTTGAAAAACATCCCCAAGTCTAAAATACTGCTTGTCCCAAGAATTTTGGATAGGGGATACTCAACCTGGCACAAGACATTTTTATTAAACATTAGGAAATAGAGGGAAGGAAGGGTGAAGGAAGGCAAGAAAACAAGAAGGAGGGGAGGGGGGATTGGGGCAGAGAGAGAGAGAGAGAGAAGGAGAGCAGAGTGAAAGTAGGCAAAAATGTGGACAGAGATGGGGGCAGGAGGTCAGCTGTGTGTGGTGATGAGCAGCCCACAAGACCACAAGATGATAACTCCAAGCACACCTTTCCTGGCCCCATGACGGTGGTTCTCAAACTCTGCTGCACATTAGAATCACTGAGAGATTAAAAAATTCTTAATGTCCACGTCACAATCCAGGCTAATGGTATTGGAATAATTGGGGGAGAGACCTGGGCACCAGTGTGTGTGGGGGAGAGGGATGAGGAGGATTTAACAGTTCTTGATGATTCCAAAGTGCAGCAAAATTTGGGGAGATACCTTTTTGCTACGAATTTCCACAAGGGGCACATCTTGTGGTGCAGCACTCATTTTCTCATCAGCATCCCCACCAGAGTTTCTGATGCTGACAAGAGTTCTCCTTAACACAGGTCGAAGCATCGTGCTCAGGTGTGGCCCCAGAGAAGTGTGTCTGTGTTGGGGGAGTGGGGTCAGATGTGTGCAGCTCTCTAGGGAACTGGCTTGGTCCAGAGGGAGTATTTAGAGATTCTAGTGGTTTTCAAACTGTGTTCTGAAAAGGTCTAGGGACCCAGGGATGGGACATCAGCTGCCACAATGGGAGGGAGATGGGAAGAATTAAGGGAGGCCCATAAGCAGGGCTACCTCTGTGCTTAAGCCCCTTGTACAGCTCTAATTAGATTGTTTTGTATTTGGGGATTCCACATAAGATGTTGTTTCGAAAAAAGTTCTTATGATATAGATAGAAAGAGATAGGTAGATAGATAGATAGATAAATGATAGATAGGGCATGAGAATCGTTGATCTAAAGCATTGGTTTGCCAATTAGGCTCTGAGATCTAAGAATGGCTTTTCATTTTTAATTGGGTGGGAAAAACTATGATACATGAAAATTACATGAGATTAGAAATTCAGGATTCATAAATAGTTTTACTGAAACACAACTATCCATTCATTTATGAATTGTCTATGGCTATTTCATGTTTTATGCAAAGTTGAGAAGATGTAATGAAGACCATCTGGCCAGCAAAGCTCAGATATTTATTAATAAACCTTCACAAAGAATATTTGCTGAGTTCTAAAAGAAGCAACAGAAGGCCCTGTGTTGCTGCTGTTTTGTTTTTGCAGTTTGGTAATAGTCACATCACCATTTCATATCAGAGAATATTGAGAGGAGAACATATATAAGTGAAATACAGACAGAGGATGTGTGTGCATATGGCTATTTCCTCATTTCTACATCTGTTTTCTGACTATCCTGATTTCTGTTTTCTTAGCCTGTGAAATAGAAATAAAACACTTATTCTTCCACTCTTTAGATAGACTTTGTTTTCTGAAGGAGTATTAGGTTCACTGCCCAGTTAAATAGGAAGTACACACAGTTCCATATATCCCTTGACCCTGTATACACACAACCTCCCTGTCAACAACCCTCCTTAGAGAGATGCATTGATTGTCACAGATGAACCTGCATGGACACATCATTACCACCCAGAGTCCACAGTTGGCCCCAAGGGTTCACTCTTTGTGTTGTGCATTCTATGGGTTTTGACAAATGTACAATGACATGGACCTGTCATTAAGTGCTGGCAAATCCTCTGAGCTCTGCCTGTTTGTCACATCCTCCCCTCATCCGCACCCCAGCACTTAGGTTTTTATTCTCTCCATGGTTTTGCCTTTTCTGGGATGTCATAGCATTGGAATCATACAGTCTGTAGCCTTATCAGATTGACTTATTTTATTTAATAATATGCATTTGAAGATTTAAAGATTTTTTTGTACCATTCTTTGGGATATTTGATTAAGGACTGGGCCAAGCAAGACAGGAACATGGTTACTGATTTTCAAGGGCTGTTAACAACATAGAGAGAGTTATCCTTTCTAGAAATCTTCTTGGGAAGAGTATGGTGCGAGGACTAAGACATGGAGCTCCCAAGACTCCCAGAATGAAAAAGTATCATGCAAGGAGAGTGTGGTCACCTGCAGGGCAGGTGTTTGCTGAGTGAGGCCTGAAATTCTGGAAGCACAGAGTGACTGTTATGGGACAGAACATCAGAGGTACCACACAAGCAATGCCCCCCTTTTGTTTTTCTGCACAATACTAGGCCTATACTCTTAATATATGACATCCCCAAATTTAAAACAATATTGGGGCTGGCGCCGCTGCTCACTAGGGTAATCCTCTGCCTTGCGGCGCCGGCACACCGGGTTCTAGTCCCGGTCGGGGCGCTGGATTCTGTCCCGGTTGCCCCTCTTCCAGGCCAGCTCTCTGCTGTGGCCAGGGAGTGCAGTGGAGGATGGCCCAAGTCCTTGGGCCCTGCATCCTGTGGGAGACCAGGAGAAGTACCTGGCTCCTGCCATCGGATCAGCGCGGTGTGCTGGCCGCAGCGAGCCAGCCATGGCGGCCATTGGAGGGTGAACCAATGGCAAAGGAAGACCTTTCTCTCTGTCTCTCTCTCTCACTGTCCACTCTGCCTGTCAAAAAATAAAAAAAAAAAAAACAATATTGGTTTTAAAGAGATGCTGGGGTAGGCATTTGGCGCAGTGATTAATACACTGCAAGTACCCCTCCATCTCACATGGAGTGCCTGAGTTTGAGTGCCAGCTCTCCAGCTCTGCTCAATTCCAACTTTCCACTAATGTGCACCCTTGGAGGCAGAAGATGATGTCTCCAAGTAATTTGATCCCTGCCACCCATGGAGGAGATCTGGATTGTGTTCTGGGCTTCTAGGTTTGACCTTATCCAGCCCTGGCTGTTGTGTGCATTTCTGAAGCGTACCAGTGGCACATGCTTTCTGTCTGTCCCTGCCTCCTTATCTGTCTGCCAAATAAATAAAAATAAATAAATAAATAAAAATTTCAAAAGGGACAAGTTGTAAGCTGGTCAGAAGTGGCCCTATGTCCTGGAATACTCCAAGAGACATGTTGTTAGCATGATCTAAAAGTAGGACTACCAAATTTTGAAGATTGAATTCTTCTTGTTCCAATTCTTATCTTGACTACAATCACATTTTTTCATGGTTTTTTTAGTTTTATTTTTGCTTGGTTGGTAATGCATCATTTCCGACATGGCGTAAGGTCATGGAATAACATCTGTGAATGTCTTTGCATTGTTTTTACGTCTTGATCTACCAGAAGAATGGTATTGTCTAGTGGTAATTTGATTCTCACAGCCTCACTCTTGTCATGCAGTCAATCTAGGGAGTCAAAGAGAGAGCTATTCAGAGCTGATGCTAGCTATATATCTCATTATCAGATTGTACGTAGCCACTTTTATTCAATTTGACCAACTTTGCTGAAATCTGCTGTAGGCATGGCGGGAAGTGCATAAGGCGTGGCTTGCTGCAGGCACTTAGTGCAACAAGTGCTTCAAATTTTGTTCCTTTCTTTGTCTGACAGGTCCAGGTGAATCCAGAGTTTGATGTTAGGCAAGGTGAGCTTTCCTTTGTGGATGGCATCTCAGAAGCTGATATGACTCCCCAGAGCTCCAGGCTGACCTCTGATTCTTCAAGAAGAACCCTGGAACAAAGGATGCGGAAGAGCCGGGGCAGGAGGTTGGGGGTGCATTCTGTGGAGTTCCCTGAGCCTGGTGGGAGTCCAGCATCAGACAATCCTGGTGGCACTTTGTGGAAGGGCCCCAGCCAGTCATCAATGGCCAGCAGCCCAGACATGGGCACCCGGCTACATCTGCCTTCTCCCCACCTTGAACATGGGGCTAGAATGAAGGACCTCAACTGGGAAAACAGCTTTCAGAAGTTGGAGGCAGAGACAAATGTTGATACAGGGTTCACCACCATCAATTCTGAGTCTAGAAACTCTTTCCTGGGCAGATTTTCAAAGGATTTACAGACTAACCAGTCACCACCCTGTTTGCAAGCCTCTTCATTACAAGAAATTCCCTCTCCAAACAGCAGAGTCCTAAAGGAAAGAGTTAGTTCCCTGGCATTTGCTGGCCCAAGGGATGCAAGTGCCAGGAAGATCATCTCAAAGTGCTCCCTTCATCACCCAGGCCAGGGTGCAGAGAAAGAAGAGGAAGAATTCTTTATATAGCATAAAACAAATGTGGCTTTTTGAAACATAAAAAAAAAGATCAGATAGAATATTCTAGAAATGGGGCACTGACACTACATCATCCGGCTTCTTATTCATTGGAGGGGGCCTGAATGCGCCCCATGCACAGATCCATATTGCTTTCATTTCAAATGTTCAAAGTCTACACAGATGCTGGGAGTGGTTCTTTATTTGCCATCAGAGTCATAAGAGGGAGAACCAGCAGAGGCAAAGAGTGCCCAACACTTGTGCTCCCAGGAGGCCCACTGACCCAGCTGGATGTGTTGAGTTCAGCACCTATCAAGACAATTGCATTGCACGCAAATGAATCGATGTATTCTGCAAGACTGATTAGTGGATGTAATTTGGTTTTAATTTTTCCTTGGATTGCATAGCTCATCCCCCTGGACAGCATGGACTGTTTATTCTTTAGTGCTTTTTAATGTTTATGTGGCCTCCTTTGATAACTAGGCCCTGTTTACCACACACCCTCTTGTGATTTTGCCTTTAAAGTTATTTGCATCTAAAATGAGTGAAAATGCAAAGTGTTTTGAAAATTGTCAACAGTTTTTTTCTTGTGTAATGAGCAGAAACATTGGCAGCCAGAGAATGGGGTTACAAGTGATTGCTAGGCTCCTTCCTGCTCCCTCCATTTCTCATTGTTTTTGCCCTTCTCTGAAGAGGGCAGGGGCTCTCATTACAAACCCGAGAGGAACAAGGGTAATGGGATACTTCAAGAGCTCTGCTGAGCATGGCCGGGAGATTGGACTCGTCGGGCTGCTGGAGCAGGACTGCATTCCTCGGGCGTGTCTGAATCCACCTGTTTCTCTGCAACATTCATTCATTCACTTACACGCTCTACTCAGTACCTACTTATTGAATCCCTAGGATTGAACCAGGTATTTTATTCTCGTCCAAATACATGTATATGGTCCAAATACATGCAGTGGCCACCCAATCCAAAAAATGTTTATGATTTTACCACTAAGGAATATCTATTCTGCCAACTTTTACTTTTTTAAGGGTTTATTTATTTATTGGAAAGCAGGGAGAGAGAGAGAGAGAGAGAGAGAGAGAGAGAGAGAGAGAGGTCCTCTGTCTGCTGGTACACTCCTCAAATGGTCATAATGGCCAAGGATGGACCAGACAGAAGCCAGGAGCCAGGAGATTCATCCAGGTCTCCCATGTGGATACAGAGGCCCAAGTACTTGGGCTATCTTCCACAGCTTTCCAGGGCTCATGCTTTCCAAGGTTGATGGGAAGTGGAGAAGCCAGGATTAGAACTGGTACCCACATGTGATGCTGCATTGCAGGCTGTGGCTTAACCTGTAGTGCCATAGCACTAACCTCTAGGCCACTTTTTTTTAATACCAGCTTTTTTTTTTAAGATTTATTTATTTATTTGAAAGATTTACAGAGGGAGAAGGAGAGGCAGAGAGAGAGAGAGAGAGAGAGAGAGAGGTCTTCCATGACTAGTCCGCTCCCCAGTTGGCCACAATGGCCGGAGTTGCACCTACCAGAAGTCAGAAGCCAGGAGCTTCCTTCAAGTATTCCCATATGAGTGCAGGGGCACAAGGACTTGGGCCATCTTCTACTGCTTTCCCAGGTCATAGCAGAGAGCTGGATCAGAAGTAGAGCAACTGGGACTTGAACTGGCACCCATACAGGATGCTGGCACTGCAGGCAGCAGCTTTACTGGCTACACCATGGTACCAGCCCCTCTATGCATGTTTTTAAAAGTCTGAAGTCTGTGTGTTTCAGTTAATTTATAAACTCCATGGACTTCATTCTCCAGGACAGATGCTACACATATGAACTCTGACTTAGTGGGGTCTTTTGGAGACCTGGGTACTTAGTACACCTGGCTGAGGAGAAGCATATATCAAGCCTGAATGCATCTTGTGGAAGCAAGACCAGGTTGAATTTGGGGGCCCTGCCTAGCACAAGGGGTAGAAATGGAGGAGGGTTACCCACGGACAAAGACAAGTCTTCTGCATTTCTAGAATTATTTTTGTCCTTAAAACATATATTCTCATTTCTTTTTTAAAAAAATTTAAAAAAAAGATTTTTATTCATTTTATTTGAGAAGTAGAGTTAGACAGTGAGAGAGAGACAGAGAGAAAGGTCTTCCTTCCATTGGTTCACTCTCCAGATGGCTGCAACAGTTGGAGCTTCACCATTTTGAAGCCAGGAGCCAGGTGCTTCCCCCAATCCTCCTATGTGGGTGCAGAGGCCCAAGTACTTGGGCCATCTTCTACTGCTTTCCCAGGCCATAGCAGAGAGCTGGATTGGAAGTGGAGCAGCCAGGACTAGAACTGGCGCCCATATGGGATGTGGGCACTGCAGGCAGAGGATTAACCTACTATTCCATGATGCTGACCCCTCTCATTTCTATTTTATTTGTCTCTTGCAGATCAAAAGTTGATCTTATAAAATGAAATACAGAATTCAATTTTGGTATGGCTTTCCAAAATGTCAGCAAAAAAGTAATGGAAGTCTTATTTCAGTTGAACTATTTAGTTACTTTAAAATCATGACAGGGAGAAGTTTGAATTCCCTTCCCACATTTTTTGTTAAATGCTGTTTATATTTCTTTGACATAATACAGGGGTAAGACTCTAAGTACATGGAAATCATAAAGAATATTAAGAAATTTGAATGAGTACCCTACAAAAGAGACTTTTAAAATAATATACTCTTTAAATGTCCCATACTCTATCCTACTCAACATAGAAATACAATTCACGACACAATGAGTTGGAAATACCATGAACTGGGTGGGAGAGCCCCAGATCTTGGTCTCAGATTTTCAGTTTGCTGTTTATGTGATCTTGAACTTGTCAGACTCTCTAACCCTCTGTTGTCTTATCTACTGTAACAATAGGTGTTAGGAGAATCAAGATTATGCATATGAAAGCATTTGGATATTATTATTAAGTGTGATATTTTATTGTATTTATTGTTATATTGTATTATTAATACAATTGGCCCTTCAGATGAACAGTTTGACAATGTCATGACAACAAAGATTATTTTACAAAATAACTTTTAGTAATATCAATGAGACCACTAAAAAAATAAATCCAGGAGTGGGCATTTGACATAACAGGTAAGATATCTCTCGGGATGCCAACATCCCACATTGGAGTGCCTGAATTCATGACCCAACTCTGCTTCCCATTCTGGTTTCCTGATAATGTGCACCCTAGAAGGCAGTGCAGAAGGCTCAGTTATTTTGGTCCCTACCACCCATGTGGGAACCCTGGATTGAATTCCAGACTGGCTCAGTCCAGGCTCTTGTAGGCATTTGGGGAGTGAACCACCAGGAGGTTCTGACTCTATCTTTCTCTCTGCCTTTCAAGTAAATAAAAATAAAGTAAATAAAAATTTTAAGAATAGGTAGAATGGATGATTTTTTTTGAAAAAAAGTAAATCCATTTTTCTAAAATTTTTACCAGTGTGACAATTGTTTTCTGTTCCATATCTAACAAGCAAGTTATACACAATAAGTAGTCAAATATATCTTGAAGTTCAACAGGATATGCAACAGGAATAAGCCATGAACTAGTTTAATACAATTTATCAGATTAATCAGACTTCATTATAATTATATGATATTTCCTAAAATATAAAATGTCAGTTTTTAAATCTGAGAGTCTCATGGTGATCAGACTATTTTATTTTTCTTTATGGGTGTATTTGAATGCAGTTCCTCATAGTTGCTTGGCTCTCTTTCACCTTATGAATTGTATTTCACACCTTTTTACAAGCATTATTTGGACACTGCTAAATATGAACAGAAAGCAATATTTAGAAACTTGCAAACATTTGTTGCTTGATGGAGAGCAAGGGATGTGCGACTGGGAGGCGGGGTGTAGACAGGAAGAGATGGGTCCATCTTGATTCACAAAGGGGGGTACAGCTGGCACTTCCATAGCGGCTTCCCTGTGGCATCTGCAGGTGCTCATGGCCTGTCAATCACTCCTGGACCATGAGCGAGGCCAGTCGCTTGTGCACGGAGGTGGCGCAGATGTGAAGACCCCACTGTGCCATCTCAGAAAGACAGAGAACGGCCAGGGAAACATGAAGGGAGAAATCAGAATTGCAAAGCATACACCTCATTCTCTGTTGATGAAAAACTCTGGATGTGATGGCCATGTTGCAGAACGTGTTCACCGATCCATCAAGTCAGCGCTGTCTGCCTTGCAGCCTCTCTCAGCCGGCGTGCGCTGGCCTTTCTCCCTCCTGCGACTCCTTCCTTCCCCCTACCCCTCCATTTCTTTTTCTTTCCTTTTCTTTTCCCATCATGACTCTCTCCTCCCGTGGCCTTCTCCTTTCACACCACTAAACCTTCCTCTGAGATCGGAGATGGTTCTGTGCCTTTCTCAGAACAGCAATTTTTAAAATTTGCTGTAGCCTGCATTAGGAAAAGAAAGGACATGGGTGGCCCTCGCAGCATGTCGTTAGGGTTCAAGTTCATAAAACCTTCATTCTGCCTTCATTGTGTGTTCAGATGTGTTGTTCAACAAGCACAGTATTCCAGAGAGTCTGCCTGATGTGTGGAAGATGTAAGAAGGAAAGAGATAGTTTCAAAGATCCCACTTCTGTCCCAGATGTTCTGAACTGTTCCTTTCTTTTTTTTAAATTTTTTAAACTTTTATTTAGTGAATATAAATTTCCAAAGTACAGCTTATGGGTTACATGGCTTCCCCCCCATAACTTCCCTCCCACCTGCAACCCTCCCCTTTCCCTCTCCCTCTCCCCTTCCATTCACATGAGGATTCATTTTCAATTCTCTTTATATACAGAAGATCAGTTTAGCATATATTAAGTGAAGATTTCAACAGTTTGCACCCACATCGAAACACAAAGTGAAAAATACTGTTTGAGTACTAGTTATAGTATTAAATCACAATGTACAGCACATTAAGGACAGAGATCCTACATGAGGAGTAAGTGCACAGTGACTCCTGTTGTTGACTTAACAAATTGACACTCTTGTTTATGGCGTCAGTAATCACCCTAGGCTCTTGTCATGAGTTGCCAAGGCTGTGGAAGCCTTTTGAGTTCACCGACTCTGATCATATTTAGACAAGGTCATAGTCAAAGTGGAAGTTAGCTCCTCCCTTCAGAGAAAGGTACCTCCTTCTTTGATGACCTGGAAAGACCCCTGACAGGAGAATGGAAAGGACCACACCCTCTGCTAACCAAAGGTCGAGGATATGCTTGTGTCTTTCCAGAGAATGCGGAACAGCCCAGTTGGGTACCAGCCAGAAACAGCAAGCCTGCAACCGACAGCCAACCAGAACCAGCTGAACAAGACCAAGACTCCGCCTTGTTAGCAGATGCACCTGCCCTATCATCCTACCCTGAGGAACTGCCCATAGCCATACCTTTTACTGTTTTATACCCCACTAACTCTGGTCAGCCACTCAAATGGCCCACAGCCTGTGTGCGGTCATGCCATTCTTGATAACCATTGTTCCTCATTCCTACCCCTATCTGAGCAAGCAATCCTGTGGTCTCTCGATTTGAGCTCTGGTTAGTCAATGACAAGATCCCCGGGGGACAACCTAAGACAGGCACAGCTGCCTACGGAGACCACATGGGAATGGGGTCAACAATGGTATGGCCAAGAATCATGCCTCCTGTTGCTCAAAAATAAATAAAAAGGGGGAAATGTGGTGGAATGAGAAGGCCATGCCAAGGTGGCCACTGGCAAGCGAGTGCCAGTTACCCAGGAATGGCTTTGAAACCCACCTGGCAACGGAGCCTGCCTGGCAACAGGCTGTGATTGGTTGGGGCATAGACCGCCCCTTGACCAGATTGGCTGGTCTTGCCTATATAAGATGTGGTTCCAACTGTAATAAACGAGTCTGTGGGCTGCTCGTCTCAAGCCTGCTTTCACCCGACTCCTGGGGTCTGTGTGGTGACTCCGCGCCTCTTGCCCCCACCACGCTGCTCCTCTCAGAAATGAATCCACTGCAACATTGTTGAGAAATCAACAGTCACACTGAACTGTTTCTTTCAAGAGCAATAATCCTCAAAGGGAGACAATGACATTAATCCAACCTGATGATGAGGGCAGACGCGAGTGGCATTTCCTGTATGCAAGACACTCTCCCTGGCATTTTGATCTTCACAACAGTCCTGTGAGATAGGTGCTAGGCCCATTTTACAGATGAGAAAATCAAGTCACAGAGAGGTCAACAGCCTAACTCAGAATTGCATAATGAGTAAATAGGACTAGAATCCAAGCTGGCCGGCTGGAGCCTGCCTCTAACCACCTACATCTTCGCCCTGGGGCGCAAGAAGGGGGAGCTCAGTGTTGGGATGGTGCCCACTCTGTCTCCAGTCTGAGCACTCAGAGAACAACACTGCTCTGGTTTCTCTTCTGCTCCTCAAGCATCGCCAGAATGTTCCATCTGCGGGGGGGGGACTCCTTCTTGTCATTTAAGATTCAGGTTCAAGTCCCTGCTGCAGGGTACTTGTTCAGCCGTTCCTTACTAAAGTAGCCGCTACACCCAGCCCTAGTCCAGCGCGGGAACTAGGGTAGATGCTTTTATGAACGTTCTGTTCAGTGAACACACAGCAGGAGACAGGGGCACGGAGGGGGCTTCCATCTGTAGATTCCCAAGGTTAGAACCCGTCTGTATAGCACACCATAGGCTGGGTGGCTGAGAGCAGCTGTTTATTTCCCTCGGTTCTGGAGCCTGGGGATCTGAGATGAGGGCGTGAGCATGGCGAGGCTCTAGTGAGGGTCCTTTTCCTGGCTTGAAGAGAACCAGCTGCTGCTGCACCTTCATTTGGTGAGGTGGCCTGGGGGTGGGGGTGTGTGAAAGCCAACTCCCTGATGTCACTCTCTCTCCTTTTTAAAAATAAGATTTATTTATCTATTTGAAAGGCAGAGTTATAGAGAAAGAGAGGGAGAGACAGAGAGAGAAAGAGAGATCTTCCATCTGCTGGTTCAGTCCCCAGATGACCACAATAGCTGGGACTGGGGCTGGGCCAGGCCAGGCCGAAGCCAGTAAACAGGAGCTTCATCTGGGTCTCCCAGGTAGGTGGCAGGGACCCATGCATTTGGGGAATCTTTTGCTGCTTTCCAAGGTGTATTAGCATGGAAGTGGAGCAGCTGGGACTCAAACTGGTGCTCCTATGGGATTCTGGTATCATAGGCAGTGGCTTAACCAGCTATGCCACAGTGCTGGGCCCTGATGTCTCTTCTTACAGTGACCCCACACTCATGACCTAACCAGTTCCCAAAGGTCTTCCAATACGACCACGTTAAGGGTTAGGCTTCCACATAGGAAGTTTGCAGGGAACAAGTATTCAGACCAAAAGACATGAACCATTTCTTTTCTGTCCATGTTCCAAATTCTGCGTCTACTCCAGATGGCCCCCCTCTCTACCTGCCTTTCCTCCACCTCTCAGCTGAGTACTTTTCCTTGTTTGCCTATTGATGGCAAACCTATTCCAAGGGACTCCCTCCTCATCGTGTTCCCCCCAGGGAATGAGCTTCACTGCACACCTTTCATTGCTCATTGTTCATGCAGCCCCGCTCTGCCTGAAACTCTCTCCAAGGTCTGTGCGACTCCATTCCTTCCACAAGCAGATTCCATGTGCCAGTCTGCAGGCTGATCCAGGCTCTCATGCTCAGGCCAGCCAGGCTCACTGCAGGAGTCCCCGGTGCAGCTCAGAGGAGGCAGTTTGGGACTGTGGGGCTTCAAAGGGCAGATTTGCTCTTTGTGTAAGCGACACACTCAGGACTCCCAGCACAAATGACTTATCTGCTCTCATCACAAGGGCTGGTTGACTCGTGTGAGCACAGTTTATGACTGAGTCAACTAACAGCCAATTACAAGTCATGTTCCTTTTTATATGTCTCTCAACATTGCAGCTGCATTTTGTCATTTTCCTCTTTCTTTGTGCAGCGGTCTAGCTCACCAAATTAAGTGGGACTGAATTCAGCAGGACTTCTCATAGGGTTGTATTTTTGCTTTTGTCCCATTCGTTACTCTGTCACGAGAGGGCGCTGACGCGGCACAATAGGAATTACAGAGGGACTAGCTAAGCTTTTTATTCTGTCACTCCAAGAGCAGATATTTGAAAATAATTTAAATATTAGTAGCAGTTTAAAATTCACTTATGTTTAGGAGATTTCCCTGTAGGAGTTTTGTCGAGAGGCAGAGCCCACTGAAGGAGGTCCCATTCCCATCTCGTCTAACTTAGGCTCAGTGATTTATACTTGGCCAATCAGATATTCTCCTCTGTCATTGTAATACTCACATTACTCACATGCCTGGATGAGAAGGCTTCTTCAGGATGGGGGAGGTGGCCAGCAGCATTCTGGCTCCAGGGAGGAAGCGGTATCTGTCTCTGGCCATAGTCACAGTGGAGCCTTTGGACTCAGTTGGGTCCATGGCTGGATTATGGTTGTGATTCTGCCAGTTAATCCTCCTTTTGTTCTTGTGCATTTTTTGAGCCCAGTTCTCTAGTCTTCTGACAAACGCACTCTCAGCTTGAATCAGCCAGCATCAGTCCTGTTTTTACACAAAATAACTGAGGCCATTGTCCATAAAGCACGGTTGTAGGTTAAGGCCAAGGGCAAAATTGGGGCACTGTGTTAAGGAACTGACTTTTCAAAGGGAGAAACAAAGATTCGGCTATTTCATTTGGGGGTTCAGTGTCTCTTTGAAGTTCTCATGGCTTTGATTCTTTTCCTCTTTTCTTTTTCCTCTTTTTGAATTGCTTCTGTCTTCATCTTCTGGGCTGTGACGCTAAGAGGACCTGCTCTTACTCTGAGGAAAGCAGGCTGAGAGGGAGGGAGGATGCCTTCTGAGAAGCAGGTCTGCACCCATAATTGTTGAAGCTAGACAAAAGGAAACCTATGGGTTACAAGTGATTTGGCCAAGGTCACCAGAAAAGGACTTGGAGCCTTTTTATTTACAAGTAAGAGAGACCAAGAAATAACTTAGACAAAAAGGAAGAAGGAGATTATTGGATCATGTGCCTAAAAAGACATGTCAGCGAACCACTGCTCAGACTCACAATTTAGCCCCCACTGTGGACAGGAAGTCTCTTCCGAAAAGAAAATTCTCAGAGAAGACTCTGATTGGCAGGCCTGAATCACGTGGTGATTTCTGGACCTATCACTTTGTCTGGGACAAGGACCTGCATGTGGGCTTCTGGTCAAAGAAGCTGCCTTTTGGCAAGGTGAGGCTTCCCACATACAATACCCATCAGTCTGTTTTATTTCCTTGAGAACCTGTGTGAGTGTCCCAGGGCTGTTGTCATAAATGATCACACATTTTATGGCTTGTAACAAGAGAAAATTATTCACTGATAATGGAGGCTGTTGATTTCCTCTCCCCTGGAGGCTGAAGGAGAGAATTCCCTGCCTCTGTCAGCTTCTTATGGACCCAGACAGTCCTTCAAATGCAGGACTCAGGCCTCTGCCTCCATCTTCTTTGGGTTTTCTTTTCTCTTTGAGGATACCTGTCATTAGATTTAGGGCTCATTGCTTTAACTCAGAATGAGCCCATCTCAACATGATTAATTTAGAGTAAACCTGCAGAGACCCTTCTTCCAAATAATCTGGTGTCCCAGGTTCTGAGGTTTAGGACGAAGATATAACTTTTGAGTGGCCACCCTTCAACCCGCTACCAAGCCCTATAATTAAATGATCCTTGCTGGGTTAGTTGTTTATTTGTGTTAAGCCTGTCCATTGTACATTCTGCTCCATTGCAACACCTCTTCCATCAGCATCAGGACCCTTCATTGTCATAACCTTGTCTGTAAGTCCTAACACAATACTCTAATAAGAGTAGACATCAGTGTTTATTGACTGAAATGAAGAACAAAAGCCTCGATCTCCATGAATGTGTCCTATCAGCACTTTATCCATAAATCCGGTGCTGCTCTTAACCAATGAATCAGTGTTGGATATATATGAGGGGCATCAGGAAGCTCATGGAAGACTTGAATTATCATTTAATTCCACTCTTCCTTGAACATTTTGAAGTCCCCTCATATGAATCTCTCTTCCTGTTTTTACCACCTGCCCTCTGAGGCCTGTTCTTCACTATTCCATGTAATCATTTCTGCCTTACAACTCAGAGCAATAAGATTTATGTGCCCAATATCGGGCCAGATACTACCCTAGGAATTAATAATAGATAAAGGCAAACATAAACACAGCCCGTGTATTGCTTGACTAGCTGTAAATAATCTTTCTTATTTTTTCCCAAAGAAACCTTTTATTTAATGAGTATAAATTTCATAAATATAACTTTAGGAATTTAGTGATTCTTCCCACTAAACCCTCCCTCCCTGTAAATATTCTTGACTTTCTACCTTTCCTCCCAATATTTTTCTCGTATCAAATTCAGGTGAAGCTATCAACCATCAAACCACATGTTGCCAGAGTCTTGAAACATTTGTATTTTCAGTCTAACTCTTCTTGCTCATGTCAGGCACCTTCCTCGGTTATTTTTGTAAATTTTCTCTGAATAACTGAGAATGGGAGCCTTCAGTGGACGTCAAACTGGTCCCAGTAGACTGAAAAGTAGGAGGCTAGAAGTTGTTCTCAACTGCTGTCAGTCTACTATGTAAGGAATTCATCATGAGCATGCTCTGCCACCCGAGCGATGGCCTCATTAGTCTGAAAGCCTTACTGGGAAGCAATATGAATGGAGTAATTTCTATCAAGACACTTGGCAGGTGAAAAAGCAATTGAAAGACAGCAGTGAAGGCCGCAGCGGTGGTGGGGGGCGGGGGCTGGCTGCTCATCCTGTGTATGTGGGCAGGGTTTCCAAGCAGCCTCCAACAAGCTATCAGCTGCACGATGCTAGACAGGCACTGAGGGACTACTTGCCTCCTTAGGTACCAGAGGGAGTTCAATGGATTCTTGCAG